AAACCGTCCGATGGGCTGTATATAATATTGACATTTTCGAATCGAGATTTGACTAGGTACCCCTCAGTACCCAACGCTGAAATTTTCAGAAGTACTATTTTATAAGGTAATCTTCAAAATACAACCAGTTTTAGACCCCGCCAGGGCCCGCCCACCCTCTTTTCGAGCCGTTGAATATGACGTCACAAAAACGCTTGATGGGCTGTATATCACATAGATGTCAATGAAAAGCATTGGTGTATTCAGCAAATTTGTATATTTTAATGATGCCAACAATTTTTTAGAACATAATAAATTGATCAAATTTGAAAAAAGCACTAATTAACTCAAAAAACCAATATTAAGGTAGTCTTAAGAGAAAATCTATTATAGCTCTACAGAGTTATGATGTAGAAATTTGGTGTCTTTAGCAAATGTTCATGAAATCAACTGCTCTGCAACTTTGTGGAAGACATGGAACCATTATCTCGTAACTGGAAAAAGTTAGAATTTGGATGTGTAATACTAGCTTAAAGATTATTCAGGTGTGTATTTCAAAAGATGCGAGATATAATTTTGAGCAACTTCTTCCAAGACAACCAGTCTCTAAAACGTCGAAAAAGGGTAGAAAATATTTTTGACCGTCTTTATTCATATTCGTGCCACTGTGCACCGGTGGGACAAAAGTTCGTTTCGAGCACCTACAGAAAAATAGTTCTAGCTGGAGTGCTTGTCTGGAATCAATTTTAGAATTAAGTACGGCAAATAAATGTGCAAACAATCGAATCTCTGATCTTAAACCATCAAGCATTAAACTATCAGTCAAATATATACCTATAATATATTATATATTACATAAAAATGCAATCAAATTATATTTCCAATCAACAGCTGACCCTCGTTTCGTTTGTCATTGGCCATTAGATAAGCTAAACGTTGATTATACAATTTCAACACCCCACCGATAAGCCCACAATATTGACATTCCGTGCCCAAATACCGATATTATTACCAGGAATCGGATACACTCTGCATGGCATCCCTTGTTGTTGTTTCCTTGCATGATATCCATATGAAGCAGGGCAGTAGAAAAAAATGGAAACCGCCAAGACATGCATTGTAATCTGATGTAATGCTGCGTTGCTTATGGTTACATCCAACCTTGTCAGGCTGCTCTCTCATGCATAAAAGATCGACCACCCCCGATTGCCGCCTGTCTGTGCCGACATGTGCACCGAATGGGTTTCACTTTGGAAAAAGGATATACGGGCTAAAGGAACGCTCATATTTGCAACCCCTCACTCTCTTTCTCGCTTTAACAATGCATATAACATGTATGCACGTAGGAAGGTACATAACTTCGTATGGCAAACCAACGGAACCAATATCACTCATTTCACCCTCGTTGCTCTTGGCAAATGAGCACCGTCGGAGTGTGTGGTTTTGCTGCTCCCATGGAATACACTACTGTTAAGCAGATGAAATAAGAAATATTTTTACATGCATGTCATATATCACTTTCCAATAGTACAGAGAAAATAAGGTGCGGAATTGGAATCAGAAGACGGATCCGTTCCCGATTCAAATGGATTATGAAACTGCAAAATTCGGAACGAGGGATTTTGCATTTTCTTTATTCACATCAGAAGAGCACGCTGGTTTGATGCTGTACACTTAAACATGTGTTTCAAAAGGACTGGCAACCGACTTTCATGCTACAACCGACGACATGATGAGGTTCATGTGGCTGGGTCCGGTGGCTTTAATCTAAATATTTATCTCCACTTTTCGTGTTCCATTACCGGGCGTCTGCTTTGAGAGTGTGCCGAAAAAGAAATTATAATAACAAGAAAAGAAAGGAGTAGTAAGATAAGACAACAAATTACTGCGTGCTGCTGCCGTAGAGGAATGGTGGCATGGAAGGTGTACTGTAGAGTGTTTCTGGTTTCAAAAAAAGGTTTTTCATTCTTTATCAGAAATAGTCACTTCCGAACCCGTTTATGCAGTAGAGATTTCTATTTTAGTACACGGTGGAGCTGCTGCTGTTTTTTCTAAATTCCTTCATTTGGTAAGGCTCAATTGCCTTAATAAAACTTCACGGAGCCGAAAGTCGTTGAAACGAATATACTATCGTTCAAACGTACGGACTAGTGCGTACATTTGAAGCCTGCATACTATTATCCCACTTTACTCGATTGCCCCTTCTACTTAGTAGCATGGCTTTATTTTCTTTGTTTATTTTTCGGACAGTGTCTGTTCCGCCACCTAAATGCTAATCATAACACCAACACCAAGGAGGTGACTCCATCTGGACCCAGAGCCGAACTCAGGATATTTTATTAGGTGGGAAACTCTCACGCCTCCGTCACATTTCAAGGTTTATCAAAGCCTTTAAAGCATTCTTCGAGTCCAAATCATGGTCTACAATACTATCATAAAACCAAAATTGTTAGTGTAAACGAGAAAAAAATATCCCAACAAATTCTTACCATTACCTAATTTGGAGTCGCGAGTGAGCTGTGCACTGCATAATTCATCCAGATTTAATTGACGTTGCCACAAATTGACAGCTAAATCTTTTGTGTAGCTGTCAGATTTTCAGCAACGGATCAAATCCGGATGTACTGTGTGTTGCTCTTTACACTTGCGAATTGAGAAAACAACTGCTGCCAGCCAAAACTTTGCACCGGTTGTTAGTAAAGACCTACAGTAAAAGTATGGACGTCTGCCAAAAGTTGTTCCAATCGAACCGTCAAAATTAAAAACACTTTATACAAAGACTTGCGGATGTAAAAGCAGTAGAACTAGCAACCAGCGAAAATAACAACAAAAGCTACTTAAAAACTGGCCTCACTGCAAATCATGCAAACTTCACATGAACGCTTGATAATGTTTGTTTTGATATCGTAGAAAAAAAATCTAGAGTTGAAATATTATAACCTGATGATGAAAGTAGTATCAGCACCACACTTGCCAGAATGTCACAAGATGAAAGAAAAAATCATCAGACGATATATTCAATTCCGCTTACGAGTAAGCCGGCAAATTTTTCCTCGAGACAAACGACATGACAGCAAGTCTATGGCCATATGAATGACAATATTTAAAATATACACAATTGATTGAAGTTTCACTAGATTTTAACGCTTAATGAAAGAAAGATTGAATTAAAATCGGCATGGAACAACAAAAACATGTTTGCAGCATTTTTCTTTATTTTCCATTTTAAGTTACCTATTCGAAAATGTTAAATCTGGATAACAATGCTTCCCCCTTACCGAACCATCGAATCTTACATGTTCGTTTGGCTGCACTTTTTGACAGCTCGTTTGGCTGCATAAAACAAATCTTCGCAAGTCTTTGTATAAAGTGTTTTTAGTCAAAATGCACCGCTTTGCTCGATTGAAACAGCTTTTTTTAGTTTTGTGGTGACAGTCGTCCATACTTTAACTAGAGGGCTTTAGTTTTCAGTCAAATGGGCAATATCATACCTGTTTTCTAGGACATGGAGTGAAAATAGATTACCGTAAGCTCTCACAACTACTCATAGCATGGTGCCACCTTGCTATGTGGAAGAAGGGATTAAAAGTAGTAATGTATTCGAATTTTTTGCAAAAATATAAATTTTACAAGTGAAAACAGAAAAAAATATTTGGTGACCATTTTGGTTAAAATTAAAGGTATTAAGTGCAGCAAATATATTTGGTAAAAATCATCATTTTCCGGCTTTCTGCTCACAAATATCGGCGTATTTTTTTAACTAGCGACATCTGTACGCAAATAAACTATGCTGATAATCAATTGTTCAGCCTCAGCGTTTGACTAATACATTGGACAGGTCTTATGCTCGATTGGAATGCAGTTTTCCAAACCGTTGATAGATAATCGGCTGTTCCAACTTTGACATGTCTTCACTTTACTTATAGGCACTCTGTTCAGCCTCTAAGTGATAGTTCGATAATCAAATTCGAACGTAACTGCATCATCGACAGTATTTATGACTTGATGAAAATAATTATGTTGATGTTTGAAATATTTCCTTCATAATACGACTGATTTTTAGAAAAAAAAACTTGTTAACTAAATTAAACGTTGTTATGAGGAAGTTGTCGTTTGTTTCATCAATTCTAATAAATTGGAAAATTGCGGAATTATATCATGTTTATTGCACGATGAAAACCTCATAGTTATTTTGGATCCATTTGCTCAAGTTACTTCCTGCTCCTAATAATTTTCTGGAAAACGATGAAAACTTATGATTCGTGTTGCGGTTTCTTGGGAAACCAATGTAATATATTCAGTCGTGAAGGGATGGTTGCAAAATGCAGTAATATGAGAAGAAAAAACACTCATAATCATCTCCCATCAGTGAACATTTATAAATCCACGTACATTGATTGAAAATGAATCTAAAACGCATATGCATTTTTTATGTTTCAATGTTTATTGATTTCGTTCCAAATAATTGCTTTAGGTGACATCACTGTTTTCCTGGAAAATTGAAGAATCTCTATTTTGTTTGCATCTGGTTTCGATGTTGGGACTTTGGGGGAGCATCGTTTCAAAAGATTTCCAAGAGCGCAGTAAGCCCTCAGTAAGCCTCTGACTTGAAGCTCCAGACGGAATTTATCAGATTTTAAACACTCAATTCTGTTTTTGGAACTTGAAAAAAAATTCAGATAAAAATTCAAAGAAATAGATATGGTGGTAATGGAATGTCTGTACTCATTCTAAATGAGGACTAAACTGAAAGAATGAAAAACACGTAAACACATAATTCAGTGTATTTATTTAATGCTCCCACACAATTTTCCCATTCTTACTATTATTATTTGCTTTCCACATGTTTTCCAATTGCATCAACATCTCTCAAAAGACACCTAGTTATGATGCGAGATTTGGATGCTGGCTGAAATCTACCTACAAAATGCAAATCAGCAAATGTTCTACATCATTCCTGAGCAACAAAATATCTAGGAGCTCTGTTAATGATTACTATCCTCTCACTCTTCTCCTTCCAGTTTCCATGGCCACCTGCCAGACCATGGCAAGCATGGATATCGAGGCGCCTCCAGCGTACGACATCGAGACACTACCCTCCTACACGATCGCATCCGGTCTGCCAAGTTACGAAGACGCAGTCCGCCATCTCACCCGACAGCATCAGCAGACTCGCGATGGATATGAGCCAGCAGCAGCAGCGAGGAAATCTTCGCCAGCTTACAGCAACAACAGCATCCATCCACCGTCCGTGGCTAAATTCTTTGAATCACGTCCGCAAAATTGGCTCAATGTCACCATTTTCGAGGAAATTCATTACAACTTTGTCGGACGAGGGACGGCCGTTGATGCTTCTGCTGCCACTACTGTACCTGCTACTAGCTCTGCAGGACTGTTGTCAGATCCGACGACGAAAAGAGAAGCTATTTCCGGCTGGTCAGATGATATCAAATCCGACAGTGATAGCGGTTTATTCAAGGTTCAAATTTGCATGGTGGAGAATGAGAAAATCCAATCTTCCCATCGATGAGAAGATTGAACGGAACCGCTAGCTGTGTAGAAGATTGACTGTGTTATTTATGGTTTAGATTCGTGCTTAAGTTCAGAGACGGAAGACTGGGTGTTTGTAAATTGTGTGTAAATAGTTTATATTTTAAAGCGAAAAAGACGTTCAAAATTCAGATGTAATTTATCTACCTGGAAGGTTTTATTTGCAGTTGGTGTGCCCAGAAGACATAAATTCAATTCAAACGAATCCGTAGAATGCAGTGTGCGTGTGTATTTGATACCATGTATTTTGAACAAGACTGAGAATAAATTATATTTTGCCATGTGCGAACAAAATTAAATCTTCATTAATTCAGCCAAAGAAATCGGTCCCTTTTCCCATACATGTAGTAGGTATCTAGAGGAGCAATAGGTTGACCCTGAATCCGAAAGAACAGAGTGTTCCGTTTGAACCGGATTCGGTTAAGCGTGAAAAGGGATGCTATATTAACCCTCCGGTGTCAATAAATAACCGCGATTTGCATGAATACGTGCGTGAGGGTTTATGGGACGAATTAGATGTGGATTTAGGTATATGATATCACTTCACTGCAATGGGGAAAAATCGATCACTAAGGGAACTGGTATAACATAACTTCTGGGTTCAGATTTTAAGTGGATCATGCTTTATATCATTTTTCGGTAAATTATGACAAGTTTAGTAGTTCGAAGCGATTTTCAAGACTATTACGTGTTATTTTGTCTGTCAAGGCCATTTTGACGAATGTCGATGGCATTTTGGTATTTTAAATAATATTCATAATCTGAATATTTATGGTAAACGCTCCTATAGTTGCGGTACGTTACAAGCGTTAGGTTCCTATAGTTGTGTATTGAGTCTCCATGCACAACTATAGGAACCTAACGCTTCTAACGTACCGCAACTATAGGAGCGTTTCCCCTACATCCATTCTTCTCAAAAACAAAACAATATTATTTTTTTCTGCCTTCATCCGTGCTAGGACGGAATTGTGCTTAGTATGAAGGACATGAGATCGTAGCCCTATCTCAAAATTGAGCGTACTCTTGAATGGAATTTTTTTTTAAACACTTTGATTAGATAGATTTTTGAAACCTAGGCTGGTGATTGAATAACTATTTATTGATTTATCGATTTAATTCTGGACTTTATTGGAAGAGCCTGTATGAAGTATGAGTAATTTTAGTACAACGCTTGATTTGAAACTTTTTTTCGAAATGAACGGATTTTAGTCAAATTATCGGCATATTAAGGTTCAACAAAGGGTAAGTAAATTTGTATTATTCTTCTTTTTGAAACATAATCCAATCATCATCATTAGTATACCCATACATTCACACATTATTATATTCGAAAATTTAAAACATGTGTTTCATGATGTTAGATCGAAAATTTCCTGTATTTACTAACTTCTGTTCTTCGAAGCACACCCAATCACACAAAGCAATACGAAATACACGAAACTCAAAACAACTGCTTCATAAAAAACTTGGTGAACAAAATTGAACACCAATAAAACCACTTCAACTTTACTGCTTTGCTAGCAGTCGTATCGTAAGTATCATTGAAAATGCGTTGTCAGATGTATTGTCTCTAGCAATGAATTTAAGTTTATTAAAACGAGTAATTGCGAAGTTTGACTCATTAACATAGATGAGATGGTGTATTTAATGGTGAATAAATATCAGAACTATTCAGTTTCAGAAGCAAAAACGACCACTTTAGGCATTTTACCAGTCATATTCAAAAAGTCACAGAAGATTGAATTAAACACTAACAGGAATGATGGCAGCAGTGCACGTAACCTGTAATTCGTTTTCTCCACGTAACCTCCAACTCGGATCAACTGTTCCGGCCCTGATTGAAGGATCTGTCAAATGTTTGTTAAGGATCGTATTGATTAACATCGACGTTTGGACCGTAACAGACCATGACCTTCGTGATCAGGATTTAATCCGAGGATAATACCGGTTGGAGCTAACCAAAATCAGGGGTGTAAACACAATTTCTCACAGCGCGGTCTGGCAATGTGAATTTTGATGTAGGATATTTGATATCTATATGGGAGTACACTTTGTGAAAACCGAAAATGGAACATGTAACAAAATTATGAAATATTTTGAACGTTAATACCTCAGCTGTCCCTGAACCAATTTCAATACTTTTATCACCAATCGATCAGATATATTTCTACCAATCTGTTAAATTTAAGACTCTATCATTTTGCAAAATGTCACTATTTTCAAAAATTGCACGAATGTGCAACTATTGCTTTGATAATTGAAATTATCACCGATTGCCTGCGAAAAGCGATTTCCCTAACACAGATTTCAAAGTTGAATTCCATCCAGTCTCACCAAACGGTGTCTATTCAATCACCGCGTGGTGAGTGGTGGTATTCTCCAGTATACAACGAAGGCTCCCCGCAAGCAGCTAGCTACCAAGGCTGGCCTCAACCGCTGATCGGATTCAGTTCCAATCACTGTGTGTGGTGGTGTCCGGTCGTCGGCATCAGCTGCAGCAGTTATTTCGGCGCGTGGTGTTGAACATTGTTCTCCAGTACACAACGAAAGGTTGCCTGCAAGGTCGCTGTGGGCCATCTATGCCAATCGCGTCTTACTAAAGAGTATAAACAGAGAGAACACGCTCAAATTCCTATTCCTACACAAAACTCAAGCTTATGCTGCAGTTAACAAATAAGATTTATTATATAAGACCATGTAGTCCTACGTCACCATTGCGTACAACCCCATAGGGCTGTCCCTTGTAGTTTTTTGTCTAAAACATCCTTATGCACCAAGTAGACGTCACATTTGCTGTTGAAAGGAAAAGGAAGAAAAGAGATGGTTAAACTTTCCTCACCATACCAGTTGATATTTATGAAATAGTCACCAATTTCAAAATGAAGACAAATTACTTTTTATAATTACTCAAATTATTTACCCTTTATGAAACCTTAACACTCCGACCCAGTGTCTGTTTTATTCATTTACCATCACACGCAAGGAGTAGCGCTTCAACCCAGTGTAGATGAATTGCGTTTGTTTTGAAAATCTTTGCTGTTACGTACGAGCGAAATGAACAAATGAGTTCATTATACATCAACGAATACGTGTTTGTTGATATTCTCCTGTGCTTGATTATCCAACCCAAAATTGTCAAAATCAGAAATGATCCTCAAAAACAAAATAATGAAATTCATTTTGGGCAAAATTATTATTTTGAATATTGTTGACTCCAGATCCTTAAACCGGGATTTTATCATCAATTCGAGGCAATAATTTGTCATCGGCTTGTAAAAACTTACACGACGCGTCCTTCAGCGCTATATTTGTGTAAAATGAAAATAATCATTTTGCATTTGATCCTCAAAATCATCTCCACCAGAAGACGAATATAAATATTGAGACAACAACGCCAACGGAGGCGATAATGTACATCCAGCCACAAATGAAGAAAAACAAAACCTCTGAGTATCGTAATCAACATGTTATGTTGATAACGATACTCAGAGGTGGCCTTGATCAAGAGAATGTTGTTATGTCAAAATTTAGATTCATGTTGGTCTATCTGTAGTAGTTGGTCTATCTGTTAAGGTTGTCGTTGTCTTCATTTTAAGCTAAAGGTCCGTTTTGACTATCTGATTTCTTGGTCTGATTTTGACCGCCGCAATAATGAAAAATCTGCTCGAATTTACTTTCGACACACTTTGTTGAACCCCACTGTTTGCTGGTGTTCACACTGCTTGCACATGTCGAAAGAGAACTGTCGATTCAAATTTCAAAACAAAACTGTATCAGAAATCAAAAGTAAATGCTTTCATAATGAACTATCGGAAAATTACTCTAGCTTCGGCAGGCGTATTTGATTTTATTATTTTAAATAAAATTAGAAGAAGACGGCGAACTTTGTGCAGTAGGAAATGGTTGCTCACGAGGAACACCAGCACGGATCTGGCTCATCTTGTCCTTCAAGAGCTGCGATATGAAGATGAAAATAGATTTCAAAACTTCACCAGGATGTAGATACCAACTTTCGACAAGTTAGTGGGAAAAGTTCTCTATAGATCTACATGATTCCTTGAGTTCTGTTAAGAACTCAATTCTGCATATTTATTTGAAGACTTTGGACGTCCTTGAAGTTTTGTTGCTTTTCTCCGGTAAAATATCTTTAAAGATCAACTAGCTTTTCTGAATATCTGCAAATTTCTCGGTAGTTCTACAGATGTCATTTAAATTCTGTGTGGTCTTAAGAAGATCTGCAAATTTTCCTAAAAATCTACAAAGTTCTTTAATCCCTGAAGATTTAAGATCCTTAAAGATCAACACAATTTCTAATAATCTACAAACTTCTCGAAAGTTCTGTAATTTTCTCTGTAGATTTTCATGATTCAATTGATATCTGCAAATATCTCTGAGCATCTACACAATTTCTAGAAATTTTTGAGGTTTCCGGAAGCTTTAGGAAGTTTTCTAAAGTTTTACTAATTTTTCTGAAGTTGTGCAAATATCTCTAAAGATCAGCAAACTTACCTGAAGCTCTGTGAATTTATCTTCAAATCCAAGAACCGCAATAAAAATCTTTTAATTTTTTTAAACATCTGCAGATTTTTCAGTAGATTTACGAACTTTTCTGAAGTTTCTAAAATTTCATTCAAATTCTGTAAAGTTTTCTGAAGTACTGTTTTTCTGATCTAAAGATCTACGAACTGCCCTGAAGTTCAATAAAAAACTCAGTAGATCTCCGAACTTTTCTAAAGTTCTATAAATTTATTCATGGATTCTTGGATTTCCATAAAGTTCTGCACATCTATCAGAAATTCTATGAAATTCCCCAAAACTCTACAAATTATTTGAAAATATTTGAACTTCGCTGAAGTTTAAAAATTTATCTGAAGGATTACGAATTTCTCTGAAGTTGTGTAAATACTTCTAAAGATCGACGAACTTTCCCGAAGTTCTGAAAGTTTGCCTAAGGTTTTGCATTTTTTTCTAAAAACGTACGAACTTTCTGACGTTCTACAGACTTCTCTGAAGTTCTTCAGATCTATCTATTTCCAAATTCCATGGAGTTCTGCAAAATCTAGGACTTTTGTACTTCGCTGCGATTTGTTTTTGGAATTGAGGTACTTTTCTGACATTTAACGAATTTTTCATGATCTCACATTTTTCTGACTTAAAAAAAGAACTCACATCTGAAAAATTCTTGCAAATATCTGCAAAGTTCTGTAAAGTTATCTGAGGCTCCGTAGTTCTATTTTCAAGATCTATGAAAAAAAAACCTTGAAGCTCAATAAATTTC